AGAAGCCTCCTTCTTCAGTCCTGAAATACTTCCTTGTGCAATATGGAAGCATCAGGAAACGTGCCCAAATGAGTGCATAGCCTGCCCCTGCTGTGGGGCAGTCCTCTGCCCTAGTCTGCCTTTTCCCCAAAGAAGAGTTGGGGCTGGAGAGTATGGCTGTCCAAAGCTCCAATCACAGGCCTGCTGAGAACAGGTATCGATGGTGGCATATCTCTTTAAACTGAAATAAAAGAGGATTTTGCTATTCAGAGAATAGTGTTTTTTTAGATTAAAAGGAAGAAAAATAATAATTAAAATATTCCTTTCTTGATCCAAGTGTTGAAATATTTTAAAAAAGAGATTTAAGACAAGCAAACATTTGTTTGGCAAAGAATAAATATAAAAGTAAACAAATCTGTATTAATTATATCCACATTTTGGTTGTAGGGAAGAGAATAGCACTTGGAAATTTTTTCTTCATAAACAAGCCTTGAGTTTGAAGAGTGTGCCAGAATGGAGTTTGGGCTGAGGGTAGATAAGGTTAAACAGGAGGTTAAGTAATATGTCACAGCACTATTGGAGATGTCCTCATAAGAAGTTTTATACACCCAGGAAGATCAAAGTTAATGTTGACCTGGAAGAAGAAGAAGAAGAAGAAAAAAAAACAAACACAGTAAAGGATGTATGCACAAGATACATAAATAAAATATGAGCATTATCTGAAGTATGAGATATCTGCTTAATGTGTCTTTAAGTACTTTAGTAGTAGTAGGGTTTTTTTTCCTCTTTCTGTGTTTAAGCTTACTTTAATTTATCTTTACTTGTTGTACGTGGAAGGACGTAGGGCGCTGGAGGCAGCTGGGCTCGGCAGCAGTGCAACGTGCGCACAGCTCGCGCCTGCAGCACTTTCCAAGGCAGGAGGGGAGCTGCTCACGGGCCACCTGTGACATTGGGCATGTCCCAAGCGGCAGAAAGCCGGGGCGGGAAGTTGCAGACATACTCGGCCCCACACTGGCTGTGTTAAAACCTATCAGCTCTCCTGGTTTCATGTTTCACTCATATTATGCATAAAGAAGTGAATTTCTTTCCTCTTGGGATAGTTTTCATGCYTGATTTTTTTATATATTCTTATCTGAAATAAGACATACGGTTATGAACTGCCAGTAGATTTTAGTACTTCTTGACAATAAGTCTATTGATTGGAAAACATGTAACATCCATCATTTCTTGGATGAGGAATGTATATGTATGCTGGACTAATGTGATTGTTTCTGTGAAGGTCAACACCTTGTAGCATAACCCTTTGATGAGAGAGACCAAATGGTCTTTTTGTCCCAAGCCCTCGTCTTGGCTAAGGGCTCCCTTTCCTCAAGCCCTGCCTCCCTCCTTAGCATATCCATGAGAACACCTGTGTCATCTCCAATCTGTGAGGATCAGACTGTAACATTTCATTTCCAACTCATCCTACCAGCCACTGGCAATTTGGCACCTGCTGCAGTGCTTTGGCAGCCAGAACATCACTGCCATACTTTTGTGCTCCAGCGTTGCCATACAATCAAGGAATCATTATGGCTGGAAAAGACCTTCAAGATCATCAAGTCCAACYGTAAGCTTATCACCACCATGCTTGCTAAGGTATGTCCCAAAGTATCTCATCTACATTGTCCTTGCCAGTCAAGCAGATGTAGGTCTCTTGTCCTGCATCAGGACAAGCTCTCAGGTAGCTTTCCCAGAACATGCAGCTCCTTCCTCACACTGAATACGCAGGTTTCTTGGACCTCATCTATGGCTGTGGCCCAGATCCTGGGCTGATCTCAGCTGACACTTGCTGTTCTTGKCCTCTTGTCTCTGAAGGCACTTTTTGCCTTCAGAGTCACTAACGTGGCAGGCACTGTCCTCCTGGTGACCTTGTTCTCGTGCGTTCACCTCCCCTTCCCTCTTGCTGTGCGTCAGCCCCTCAGTTTCGTGAGGAACTGGCCACCATCTGCCTGGAGGCACCACAGGTCACAGCCACAACCCAGCTACTGTAATTCTGGTCCAAACCGCTTTGTTGGCCAAGCGTCAACGATGTTTGGTTTTGATCTGTAAAGCCTTATAAAAATATGGTTTACAGTCCATTATTCCTAGGGATCGGCTTTCTTGTTATGTGGTGCCTCTTTGTTGTGTCAGTTTGGCTGAGAAGATGCTGGGTGTTTTCAGCAGAATGCCCACAGCTTTCCACTTCTCCTTCAGCTGCTGAAAGCCTCTTCGGTTTCACGGCACTTTTATCTGAGGAGACATGACTCACAGCTTGAGTTTTGGGATTAAGTTTCCATAGTTCACCAGAACGTTTTGTTCTCCGAAATTGCCTTTTTGTGTGCCCAACTGGTCTTTTTTTCATGGGCACATTTGGACATGGAAGGTGTGTGGAAGCAGAGGAGGACCCAGAGATGTTTTGAAGAAGAGGCCTTCACCTTCCTGGTCCTGCTGCCAAGGCACTTGGCAGCTTCGCCACTGCCACCCCTCGGCGATCCCAAGCTGCACCCAGCCGTGTAAAATCTGGACAGGCAGACAGAAATCCTCGTTCCTCCAGAGTCCACCCAGCCTTAGCCAACATAGTTTCTCTGCATTTTCTTTTCTCATTAAAAAACTGTCATTGAAAAAACAGATTTTCAATAGACGGTAAATGCTGCCTTTCTTATATTAACTCTATGGAGCAGCAGAGAAGAAACAGTTCTAGCTCTGGGGAGTTAGCCACAATATAAACTTCTCATTCAAAGTGTCACCTAGTGGCTGCTTAGAAGTTTTGCATTCTGAGTTAAACAATCAGTAACATCAGTTATAGAAAACAGCTGTAAAAGCCAAAGGCCAGTCCTTATGCGCAGCAACCAATGTTGCTGCACATAATAGGACTTTCTCATTCGATTGATTTTGATGAATTTCCTTTTTTAGTGTGTTTCATTTAAGCCCTAAAACTTGCAGTGGATCTCTGCATTCTGTTTCTGTTTTTTGCTGAATAATATTATTCAGAAATGCATTATGTATTATTGCTTCTTTATTATGTTTTTAAACAGTAGAATTTATTTTGACAAGTAATGATTATTAATTGCCAATTATAAAGGTATTTATCAGTGGACCCAGCAGTGAACCATTTTGTTCTTGAAGGATAACAAAGAAGATGAATTAATGTTAACATACTTGTCATATGGACCAGGAAAATTAAAACAAGCTCCTCATGTAATGTGATTTTTCAGCTTTTTACCAACTCCAGAGAGGTTACATGCATGAATGAATGAGAGGTGCTTTCTCAAATTAGACTGCAACGTGTGTGCTGCTGTGGTTTGTCTTTGTTTGATGCTTTATTTTTCTGGGTTGCCATTTTCAGCTTAGCTGGGAACTTTTCTTCAGAAAAAAAGTGAGCACCTGCACATATAAGAAGAGTAAGAAGATGTACAGGAGCTGCAGGTGTCCAAGACAGCCAAAAATGAGGCTGGGTGCATTAGACTGGGCACTAAGAACTGGTCCTCAGATTTGAAACTTCTGCTGTTTTGCCTAGATAAGCGGCAAGGCAAGAGTCTTGGGCTGAGAAAAATGCTGAGTTTTCAAAGTCCCATGTTCTGCCTTTATTATTATTATTCTGCCACTGTGAACTTCACTAACTGTGATATGCAGCACTTCTTAGGATTTTTTTTGTGATGTGTTTTGTTTCTCTTATGCTACTGTACTTACCTAGTTCATGGGATGCAGATGTTTAAATGCAGGATACATCAGAGACTAAGGATTTTGTAGGAAAGCTAGTAAAATTGCTGGTAATTCTATTTCTTTAGCTCTCTGGGCACTTCTTTTTAGTAGAAGATCACCTTTGGCTCAGCCGCCTACCTCACTTCCAATGAGCCAGTGGTGAAGTGAAAATGAGGAGCTGGGTCTTAGCTTTATGCCCCTTCCCTGGGCAGCGCGGAGCAGAGGAATACAATGTCCCGCAGTGGGCAAGATCGCGCCCTTCCCAGCCTAATCGCATTTCCCGGAGGCTTGCAGGGGAAAGATACAGCTGCACAATGGAGCCGCTTTGCCCTAGCAAGCTGCATAAAAAAGGATCCGCTCCTGGCCGAGGGTGGCACTCCGATAAGATGTGCGTTGCAAAGAGCAGGGGTTTTTAGCCCCTGCCTTGCAAGGCTACACAGTGTGTGTGGGGGGGGGACGGACAGATAACTGCCGTAGGTATCGCGCACTCCTAAAGAAAGCTCAGGACTGCATGTGTTTGGCACTGCAACGTGGTATAAAGAAAACGAGATTGGGGTTTGCAGTGCAGGTATGCAGTAAGGGACAAGTCCCCCAGGAAGCGAAGTTCCTTTGCAGGCTCACAAGCCTTGACTCTGTCCTTTTAAGTGTAATTGCTAGTAAACCCTTTAATGAAAGAAGCTTTCATCAGGCAAAAAGGGGGTGAACTGCACTGGTAAATAATTTGCCTTGGCAAGTAATGTTGAAGCCCCTGCTTCGAACTGTACCTCTGTGCAGCATTTTCATCAGGTCGGTAAATAGCTGAGCTTATCGGTGCAGCCTGGATTTCTGGGGGCAAAATGTGGGGCAGAGGGAGCGTGTCGCTTGCCTGCCTTTCCCAAAGCAGAGGTTTCAAGCTGTTCCAATAAACCTGTGAGCGCTGCAGCTTGCTGGGGGTGACGATGGCGGCTTGGCCACGAGCTGGACTTGGCTCTGAGCCCCCTGTTTGGGGACACTGGCCGGGAGCGAGCGCAGGGTGACCCCACCGGCACATCCCCGTTTCACAGACCCCGCCGAGCCCCCCTGGCTGGCTCCTGCCAGATGCAAAACCATTTGGTTTCTCTTTTAACYGTGTTCCTTCTCGGAGGAGCCTGCRGGAGCCGTGCACGGCTGTTGGCAGCAGCGCCGGGCGACAAGGCGGCTCTGCCAGGGGAAACCACATAAAAGCGCGGGTGCGCGCGCGGGGTGCGCGCCTCGGGGGGGAGGGCGCAGCGAGAGATGATGCCGGGAGCTTCTTGCGCTCAGAGCTGCGATTTGCGAGTGCAACATGATGAAATCACCCCCTGGACAAATCACACGAGCCTGTCAACCTCACCAGGTGGGATTAGTTGTAGCCTAATAGCCCGGAGTCCAGAGCAAACAGAGCACTGCGCTCCGTATAAAGCAGAGGAGCGCCCGCTGCGAGGGCTGCGCGGGACGCCTCGGGTATGGCTCACAGGAGCTGCCTCCAGCTGCACCAGGTAGGGAGGCAAGGAGCGCTTTGGCTTTCCGAGGAGAAGCAGCCCGTCTCCCTGCACAAAGTTGCCACAAAAAGGAGCGTTTCAGCTGCAAAGGGAGATGTTTTATTCATAGCCCCGCTCTGGTTCGCGCGGCTGACGACGCTGGCRGTGGCAGCGCGGGGGGCTGGGACGCGCTGGGGACCCTCCGAGCGCTGGGTATGGCGCAGCCCAGTCACTTTGCTCTTCTGTTTCTGCAGGTTATATCGTTATTTGCGTTTGCCTTTGGAGTAAATGTCTGCATGGGATTTACAGCACACCGGTTCAGGAGATCTGAGGAATGGGATGAGGGCCCGGTCTCAGGTACAGTGACCGCCGCACGCTGTGCATCGCGACACCCTTACGCTCTCTAYGGCCGCTAGAAACCACTCCTACCCCGAGACAGTAGTTTGCCTGTTCCTTTTCCCTCTAGCATACAGTGCAGAATAAATAACTCGCCGAGCCGGAGTCAGTTGACCTTTGGGACTCACCTATAGGTCTCCTATTTACTTAAACTTTTGCTCTGTGTGCATGTGACTGTGGAGAATCTCACTTATTTTAGGACGGAGCCCCTGCAGCCCGGTGGAAACCCGGCTCCTCGGTGGCTCCGCTGCCCCCTGCGCAGGTTCCTCCTACGCCCCAGGGAAGCAGGTTGCTCCGACYGCGGCGGCCGGGCAAGGGGTTTCTGCAATCCGGGGGGCTGGGGGCACCYCTGGGGAAGGGAAGGGACGTGTGGCAGATGTCGTGTCCCGTCCCGGCTCTGCATGAAGGAGGCGAGCGCCCGGTGGGCTCCCGGCTCTCCTGGCACAGAGGTGGCTGTCACAGTGCAAGGTGTTGTGAGCTCAGGCATTGCCCAAGCTGAAAAACATGTAATGTGGAAAAAATGCCTTTTATCAGTGTCATGATTAAGCAGGCTGGGGTTGTTTCTCTGTTCCTTTGACTGGCAGGAGAGCTGTAGTTGGTGACAGTACTGGTTAATACGCTTGAAATGAAAGCGATTCACTGAGGGCACATATCTGTAATGATAGCGTGTGAGTTTCCATTAAAATGTGTTTAGTGTGGCCCAAGTGTGTTAGACTCCTGGTACTGAACTCCCCTCCTCTCCTCTGTCTTCTGTGAGAATTGCTGTCCACTGAGCAGTGGCATTTTAGGTGACTAAAAGGTAGTGGCTATTGCTTTTGGCCTTTATACAGCAGTAAAACAAGTTTGCTGGAAAAAATAAAGATCAAATTTACTTCTATGTTTATCTCCTAGATCATTGACTGTAGAGTAGTTAGGCAACATGTGTAATAGGGACATGAAAGATTTGCATTTCATATCCTCAACACCAGACTGTCAGTTGCTTTGCTTTTACTGGAGATGGCCAGCAGGTTGGGGCAGGGCTGTTCAGGCCACTTCTACAGCCCTCCCCAAGGTCTCGTGCTGGGACCAGTTGCAGCTCATTGGTGTCAGCTCTGCTGAGGCACCAGCATGTTGCTCAGTGCCACAAAGCTGGGAACAGCAGCTATTTCCAGTAGCAGGAGGCTTAGCTCAGCATCCCTGGAGAACAGCAAGAAATACGGGGTGTCTTGCAAGACAGAAGATGGTGTTTGGGGCAATCTAGGGAACATTTACTTGTTTTGGGATTGGACCAGACCCTGGCATTGAAGCAGTCTAAATCTAGAGTGAGACTAGAGGTGAGAATAGTAAAAGACAGGGAGGGCTCTCAGGCTAGTCTAATTATTTTTATTTCAGTTAACACTTTGGATGTGATACCTAGGAGTAAGATTTTATAGCCTCACCTGTCTGAAAAAGAAAGGAAGCTGTTGTGCTGGAGCATGTGCCTTGCTTTAGGGAGACAAAAAGACTGATCAGGGAATCTGCTTTGACTCTCATAGTTGCGTGGCTCCCAGGGTGCTTCATCAGAAAGCCAGTGCCATGAAACATGCAGAATAAGAGACTCCTGTATGTTTTTTTTCAGCTCCACTCTGCCTTGCCTTATATATTTTCAGTTTCTTGGTGCTTAGAGTGAACTATTTTGTCCTGACAAAACACTGTCTCTTTAAGAACYGGTGTGTTATTTCTCCAGGGTTATGCCTTGATAATACGCGAATTTCATTTTTAATCTGGTGTAGAATTCCTCTACGAATAAAAACCAATACAGTTTTGTTCCCTGACTGCTATAATGGCTAAAAAGAAAGAAAATCTCTTGTTCTCTTTTTGCAGTGTTCCTATCTACCTCTATATACATTTGAGATGTTTATTGTTTGTACCTAACAAAAGATTTCATTGAAATAAGCTTGACTTAAACTCTGTAGATCAAGGAAATAGGAGAATTGAGGCTGCTACTTTTTCATAAGATTGCCTTTGTAAGTTATTTGCTGTATGAGTCTTCCAGATTTCTTGTTAAGCGCTTTCAGAAAAAAAAATATTCTTAATAGTCTCTTGAAGCACGCTTCTTGTTCAGGGCAGGATGATAGCTTAAATCTCCAAAGAAGCAGCATTCTAGTAAAGTGAAGTTTTCCTTCTTCTCCTTGTTACAGTTTTATGGATGTCATTAATAAGGGAGTCCAGTCTCTCTTGTATTGCTATGGATAGGTGCATTTTTACTTTATGTGGCTTTCCATTGAAATTTAATTATTGCAATGGCATTCCACAGAAATAAAATGTAATATGCATGTAGCATAATATGCATGTAGCATAATATGAATATGTAGCAAGACTTATGTTCTAGAGTCTTCTAGACATTCAGCTATTTAGTCAATCCATATAAGCTGGAAATGGCAACTTCTTACCAGGTAGCCTCCTTCATGGAAGGACTATGTAAGCATGTCTATAAAGTAAACCCTATGACTGAAATATTACTTGAAGTAAATTGACTTCATTGACTTTTTTCTTTTTTTCTTTTTTTTTTTTTTTTTTGGTATCAGACCAAGTAATTTGATAGGGTGCTTTCCAAGGTGAATATAACACATTCACAGTGGAAACATGATAACCTTCATGAGCTAAATCAGGAAGGCACTCATGCCCCATGAAAGTTCTTTAATCTAGGACACATGAGATAAAACATCATCCTTCATGCTTAGGAGATGGTTGTTTTCAGCTTACTTGGCTGAAAAAAAAAAGTATGGGAAAAGATATGAAAAGGTGTATTACTTAAGAATGGAAAGATCTTTATGTTGAGGTCTGCTTGGCTGTGTAGGGGCAGGTATGAAGGCAGGAGCTGTGGAGGAAAGCAGGAGTTTTTAAAGTGGTTTTGAAATTTTGTGAGTTTGCTCCATGCAGGGGCTTCTGTTAAACTGAAATGCACCCCATGGATGTAGCTCCTCATGATATACTTTGCAACTACTCTGCATGCACCAGTAGCCATGCCATGGCATTGTGCACGACCTGAAAATCCTGGCCTGGCCGCAAAGGCAAGGTCAAGTGTAATAAACAATGGAACAAGCTTAATGTATTCAGTGATCAGAGGAGTTAAACCACGTCCTCTTTGTGTTGCTATATGTAAAATGTTTTGCACTGACTCAAGAGGTATGACTTGAAAGTGCTAAGACATTCTGGATAATTTGTCACATCAGTAATAAACTGTAGCTCATGGTTGTCAGAAATGTGGAAACAAAAAACCACAAATTGACTAGTTAGCCAGGTARTTTATGTACCTTCTTACGTAAGATCGTAATCCTTCTTGCAGTCGTAGGAGATGGACTGGAGGGACTTGGAGGCTATTTAGACCTTCTCCGYATCCCAAGTTCTCAATTGCTCCTGACAGGCCTTTGCCTAACCCATTCTTCAATATCTCCAGTGCCGGGGATTCCACCAGCTCCATGGGCAGTTTCTTCTAGTGCAGTCAGATTTTAACACTTTTTCTTCTAAACATGTGTTGGATTTTTTTTAAATCTAATTAAATGGTCCCTCTCTCATTTAAAGATGATTAGATATAGCATCCATTTGAAATGACAGTTTTAAAGGATAGATAGCATATGTTAATACATAATAGTTTTGGGGTTGAGATTTGCAACTTACTGCATCTGTGATTTTGATGACAAKATAAACTATCTAGTTTCCAAGAGGATGATATTAGAAGAGCAACAGCAACAGATCTTCAAGAGCATTTAGTACAATCAACTATCCAATTAAGACAATTGGAGTGTTAGCATATCTTGAAAAATTCTCCTATGATTACTTTCTAACACCGCTTTGTGGAATGTTCATTTGAGCAAAGAAAGTAGTGGTCCATGAGCTGCCCAAACAGATACACCGTCGTTAGCAAGTTGGAGTTCCAGGTGGCTGAAATATTGATGACTCATTAAGGACATGCTTGCAGGGTATGTGACTACAGAGTAAAACTTAATTGTGAATATGCCACTGTTATTTGCTACAAACATTACTGACTTGACTTAAAATCACACAAAAGCAAGGGAGGTCAACACAGCTGTCTACTGTTACCTTTTCTAGAATATGCCTTGCTGCTGTCATGATCCAAGATTGTAACCATGGCTTTTTTTTTTTTTTTGGCATTATCTTCTTGTAGGTTTAATTTTTTGCCAGTACAAGGCACCTATAATGGTTTGAGTTGGTGCCTGACCAGTGCCAGTGGTAGAATAGTAGGGCTGGAGTTCAGAGTTGGTGAGAGATCAGCTTTAACTGCAGTGTCACTTCCCAACTCCTCCTTCATCTTCCTTCACATGTTCTCTAAAAGTGTTGGGATAATCTCTTCCTAAATAAGTTGGCATTATCCCTCAGTTTATGCAGAGACTAAATTTCCAGCTATGGAACAGAGCAGGAAAATACGTATATATGAAAAAAGACCAGAGTAAGTATTTCCGAAAAGTACCATTGCATCAGTTCTCTTAAAACTGTATTGCTAATTGTGTTGAGCTTTGCCAAAACCAAAACATGGTTTAAAAGAAAACAAACCCCAAGAAAATTTCAAAGTCCTAATTTTAATAGGCCTCTCAAGGAACAAAAGACATTGTGAAATTTTCCTTGGAATACCTCTGTTTCTTTAGAATAATTACATTTGCTTCAGTCTATTTCATAAAACATCATTAACTTTAGACAGCAGCAAAGTTTTTTTTTTCTACTTTATATAAACTGCCATGGAGCTCTCATAGTGTTGCAGGATTAGAATGAACAATAGGATAAATGTATAAAAGACCAAATCTTTGAGAAAAGAGCAAGATAAATGTAGAAAAGACCAAATCTTTTAGAAAAGAGCAAGAAAGCACACATCAGCTCTCACAACAAGGACCTTTACTAAGAGATTATTGAAGTCTAATGGTTTTCATGGCTATTGACTGGCAGTCTCTCATTTAGTTAAAGGCATCAAATACACTGAAGTCTTACATACCTCTGTATCATTGCTTAGATATTATCATTTCATGCTCTGCAGAAGCCCACTGGAAAGCCTGGCCTTACTTCACCATTAATTTATAGAGCACCTCACAGGTTTCTTTCATGCTTGATGTTGGATTGGCGCCTTGCAGCATAGCAGGCCAAGTGCTGCTGACTGCAGGTAGATTATTGGCAACCCTCTGTGAAGCGAACTGCCCAGCGAGCCATGAAAATRTCCTCAGCTTCTGCAAGCTAAGGCCTGCCTCCAAGGAGTCCCTGCAGCTCCTGGAACCTGGTCTCTTGGGAGACCTCAGTGCATTCATGCACTGAGTCTCTTTGGAGACCTCAGTGCACTGCTCATGATGGCTTGCTCATCRTGGAGGTGAAGCCAGGTCCCTTTGCAGGGTGTTATCAAAGCATGCTGCTTTTCCCATTTTCTCTCCAAAAAGAGCAGCCTTTTTGGAAYTTATTAGCTATTTTTTGCTTTGCTCTTGCTAACCAGCCTTCTCTTCCTCCTCTCCTCCCTGCGCCTACCGAGACAGCTGCGGTTTCACTCACCAGGGTGGCTCTGGGTTGAGCAGTCGCATCCCGCTGCTGCTGGCCTGACGGATGTTGCCCTGTTTCTTGTTCCACACAGTCCTGTCAGATTCCCCCTGGATCAGTACCTCTGGCTCGTGCAAAAACAGATGCTTTGAACTTCAAGAGGCAGAGCCTCCTGGCTGCCGCTGCGACAACCTCTGCAAGAGCTACAACAGCTGCTGCTTCGACTTTGATGAGCTGTGCTTAAAGACAGGTACGATGGGGCTCCTAACACCCAGCGCATGTGGGTGGCCCGACCTGCTGCTGTGAGCCAGCRCATCCTGCCGTATCCCGCATGATGGTCCTGCCCCTCCTGGCAGGCTGTCCTGGCCAGCGTGCAGCCCCATCTCCTCACAAAGAGCACGGGGACATGTCCTCATTGCTCCTTAGTGCTCAGTTTGCAGGTAGAAAAAGGCAACAGCCCCCACGTGCCAAGAGCCTGTGATGCTCCTTCAATCAATGCCCAGCATTCAGGCGCCCGTTTCCCCTCCAGCTTAGGGTGCAAATGGCCATGGTGAAGCTGGGGCACTGCTCTGCTGGTGCCAGCCCTCGTTCTCTCCCGCAAGAAAGAAACTTGGTGTTTGGGCAGGGAAACGTGTGGGCTATGCGTTGTGGTTGTGCCTGTGAGCACCTCTGTGTGGGTCCCCTCGAAGGGAGCCCCAGGTGACACAGTGAGCTTGTTACCAGCGCTCCAGACTCTTATTTCCAGATGTCAGGATACATGTAACACATGGGCTGGTAGAAATGTTCAGCCACAATTCACTGGGCCCTGGGGAATGGAAATACAGCACTGAGTTCATTTTCCCTTTTTTTTTAAATGACTCATAGGCAAGGACAACTTCAAAGAGAGGCATGAGTTATGTTTTATTTCTTAGCATGCTGCATTTAGGTTATTAGTTGTACCCATCTCCTTGAATGTTTGTACAGTGGTCAGAGTTGACACAGGTGCCCTCTACTTCTACTGTTAAACTTTTTCCTGCTTTATCAAAGAACTACAGAACAGCCAGAAAAGAAGCCTGAGATGATTAAAGATATTATTGCCCTGTGCATGCGCCATGTTTGGAAGTCCTGACTTGCTCAGTTCTATATATAATTATATAATATCATATAATTTCAATAGCTTGGTACCAAAAATTATGGGCTAATCTGATTAGAAAAAATGGTTTGGTTCAAGTCCAAAAGGCTTTTTTTTCCCCCTTGTGTATAATAGGCTACTGAGTGGCTCTGAATGGCTCTGAAGCTTTTCAGCACAATAGAAAATGTTTGCTATAAAAGAAGAGAGTTTTGGTTCTATATGTACCATATCCATATACATGTATAGATCCCTGTGTAGCTCTTAGAACTGCTGTGTAAATTAGAACTTTTATGTAAATTATTGTATACTTCCATAGGTATTTATTAAGACAGCTGTTACTTTTACTGTTCGTAAATATTATAGATTTATAGAAAGAAGCCCCACAGTGAGGACAAGGTTTTGGTGAGAAGGTACAGAGAGTTGGTTTACAGTGGTTTTGCTGGGTACATGTTGTCTAAAGTGAGCTTTAAAGTTTTCTGTTGCTTGGTGCAAAACTTACATAAAAGTCCCTCAGAATTAAAGTCAAGTAATGTGGTACCTGTGAGAGAACGCCGTAATTCAGACAGGCCCTTAGATCCTGACTTCATTCAAAAGATGAGAAAAGCTGGAGTGCTTCTCAATCATGAATTTCCTTGGAAAGCAATTCTTCGTTTTTTTTCTTTCTTTCTTTTTTTTCTTTTCCTGAGGTTGGTGCTAAATCTCACCAATTGAGGTATTAGAAAGTGCCTTCTGTCTCTGTGAATGGTAAACTGATAATGAGCAAAGCACCAGTTTGCATGTAATGTTTTTACATTTTAATTTTCTCCATTTTCCATTAATTTAACTAGGACTCTCTAATAGTAGAAAAAGAAAAAAAGAGAAAAAGAATAAAGTGCCTGAGAAACACCAGTGTTTTTAGTTTATGCTCCAGGCCCCTCCACATATCTTTCAGGGGTCTTTTTTTTTTTTTTTCCCACCAGTTCAGGAGTCTTTTTTTTTTTTTTTTTTTCCCCACTAGTTGCATCTTTGCTGGCATTCAGTTTGTAACAAACTTGGGATACAACACATGGGGGTTGGAAACACTTGTGTGTGGATGGAGGAAACTTCCTGCATCTGCAGGACACAAGGATCCTTTTTGTTTATGGTCAACAAGCGTTCTACAGAGGTCTTGAATTCACTAAAATAGGGCCATAAAGTTTAGATCCAGCTTTAACGACTAGAGTCATTATGGCTTGAGTGAGTACTTTTTTGTTTTGATTAAAATCTCTCATTCTTGCTTACCCTGTGAATATTTTAGCTCGGGGCTGGGAATGTACCAAGGATCGCTGTGGAGAAACCAGGAATGATGACAATGCTTGTCACTGCTCTGAAGACTGCTTAAGTAGAGGAGATTGTTGTACTAATTACCAAGTCGTTTGCAAAGGTAGGTCTTTGCACTTTCTAAATGTGATAGAAGGCATCCTTATGGGTACAAAGTGTTCTTCTAAAGGAGGACTCCTCTCCTTACTTTGTCTCATTTTTTGAAGGAGGGAAGAATATATGGAGAACTAAACTAACTTTTTGGACTTCAAAAGAGATGGATACTTCCAATCTTCTGATGATTGTATTGCTTCTTCTGATTGTATTTGCCTGCAGAAATGTTGGTGGGAGGAGAAGAGGGTTGGGTGCACAAAGAAGGGTTTAAAGGAGAACACAAAGAAGTTTGGATACACTTGTCTGCATCACAGAGAGAGGAGAGATACCTTAGGATTTTGAAAGAGCTGAGCATTGCTAGATGTTATCTCTGTCTGAAAGGCTTCTTCTCAAATGACTTGGCCCAAAAGTTGAATCTTTTGTTTCTTGTGGGGAATACAAGGACTATGATTCCCAAATGGGTTCCCCCATGGCATAGGCTCCAGGTGGCATGGTCAGGGTGACCATGCCACTGTCCAGACACACTACAGCCACTATATGGCCTGCACCATGTGATGGATGGGCTGTGAAACCTTAATTTTCATCCTGTAGCCTGATATCTTTGAAACATGTCCTACCTTGTATAATGTATGTTCTGGTTCTTAGTGATAAGTCTTAAATAATCTCACTTTTGTAATCTCACTTTTGGATCTCAGCTAGTTGTTAGTCCTTTTTTATTTCAATTGTAGGGGGGGATAAAGTTTGAAATTTTGCCCTTCACACTTCTACTGGTCAACTGCATAAGTTTAGAAGATGGTAATAGTCCAGATCTAGATACTAAAATTGGGCTTTTCTTCTCTGCTTGAGTTTTGCTGTTGGGAATCAAAATGGGAGGTATCAGTAGACTAAATTCCTCCCTTCTCCAAAGAAACCCAAGGCTGAGCCTGCTTAAATGCTGGTAGAGTTCTCAGTTCTTGCATTTTTTGTGTGTGCTCCCTTTTACAAGGGTCAAGACTGAGGAATTCACATGTCTCCTGCTTTCATGTCCATAATCTTTGTTTGATTGGCTAATAACAAATGATCCCTATGACCCTGGCAGTCTGACAGGAATAAGCCTTATGTGAGAACAGTATTTCCTCTTTATTCATGCCTCTGTCTATCTAAGGATAGTGTTTTTTCTTTTTCTTTTCTTTTTTTTTTTTCTTTCTTTTTTTTTTTTGGAAATCTTTCCTCCACTCCTGCCATGGTCAATTAGAATTGCTGTTGGACACATTTCCTGCAGCTCTTTTCTTTGGTGCTTTCTGTTCTACCTTTTTAATTGAACTGCAGTTCCTCTAATAGTGCCAGGTTCAGGAAGTGAGTCTCATTAATTAATAATTTGCTTTTCAGTTGACTTGTGAAAGTGCAGGTGATTATCTGCTCTATATTCAGCATTCAGTAGCACACAAAAAACCCTAAAATAGTTGCTTATACAACATAATTGAAAATAATTTAGCTCTGAAAGAATATTAATGCTTTTGTAGCTGTGTCTGAGTCTCACCTGCTCCTTCCATAAGCTGATCAGCTCTCTAAACCAGCTGGAAGCTATTTAGGGTTGTTTTTCTTCCCAAGAATGAGTTTTGTTTTGTGACTTAAGCCAGCTGCATGAGCTCATGGAGACATCAGAACTAGTGGGAAGGAGGGTAGGAATTCACAGCCAGAAGCAGCACTGCCTTTTTGACAGATCAAAAATAATAATAAAATAAAAATAAATAGATGACCACTGTCTCCAAAGTTTTACCACTGTCTCCTGCAGTCAAAAGGATACCTTTAGCTCCAATTTTAAGGCCTAGTTATAGCAGTGCTGGTCTGAATGTTCTTTGTTAATCAAGTATAAGCAGGTCTCTTATTCAGCATTGTACAAGAGACCTCATCATTATTCACTGAGGGTATGAAAGATGGTCCATTAACTGGAAATAGACTTATTTAATTTTATTTTTAAATATTCTGTAAAACCTATAGCTGTGTCCATAGAATTTTTTTAAAACAATGATGTGATTTTCCTGATAGGGGAAACTCACTGGGTAGATGATGATTGCGAAGAAATAAAGACTCCTGAATGTCCAGCAGGGTAAGTGTTTTGCATGCAACCTCAAAGCAAGTTTAACAAAGTCCTGTGCTCTACTCTGGGCCTTTGAGCGTAGAATTTCTTTGCTGGCCTTGCAGTTTCTTTGCTGAACAGCTGTGGGTTTGTTGCAGTCCTTTGTTTTTCTGTGTTTTGTTTTGGATATTGTAATTATCCATTTATAACTCATTTCCCATTAAAGTTCTGGATGAGCAGTGATGTGTGATACATGGGCTTGAACTCTAATCTTTCATCACTTGCTGGTGAAAAGTATCTTCCTGCCCCACTTCCCAGGTACCCAGCTTCCTTAAATCAATGGAAATGTTTTTCTCATTTCAATAAAATTTAGATTGAGCCGCTTGTGAGCACAGTTCAGAGCTATTTTACTGTGTGAGAGGCTTTGGCCTTGATTTACTGAGGTACTCAAGCATGTGAATAACTTGAATAACGTAAGTATTTTTGAAGCCAATTGGCTTGCAGTTATCCTTGATGTTAAGTACTTACTAAGGTGCTGTGCCATGCCCCAGCTCAGRCTGCGTGGTGAGGAGCCAGGTTGGAGGAGGCAGGAGCACCAGTCTTGTGGTGACTCCAACGATGGCTTATCCACCAGCGAGCAACTAACCTCAAATGCCCCAGTGTGTCCTGGGCACATCTGTGCTTCGCTGGGCTCGGTTCCTCATACAAATAGTAATGAAAGCAGAATAAGATAATRCGGAATATGGTAATCTCTAGTATGGGAGAACAGGCTCTGCCCATAGAGCAGACATARGGCAGCAGAGGTTACAGGCTGCGCAGGGAGGTTGTGGAGTCTCCTTCTCTGGAGGTCTCCAAACCGGCCTGGATGCCGCCCTGTGCCCCGTGCTCTGGGTGTCCCTGCTGGAGCAGGGGGTTGRACTACATGATCTCTAGAGGTCCCTTCCAACCTCAACCATCCTGGGATTCTGTAACAGAGCAGAGGTAAAACACCACGTTTTGTGTGCATGGAGTGAAGACCAGAAGACATGAAGTAGAATATTTTAAAAACAAATTGTGTGCTAGGTTGAGTACTCCCACTTACTCATCTTTTTTTTTCCTCAACCTCCTTCTATAAGCACTTGGCTTTATTGGCTGTACACTTTTAGCTTCCATCCCCTTTCAGGGAGGATGTTTTTTTTGTTGGAGTTCAGCCTCTTGACTGACCACAGCTGAACCCTGGATACCACTAAACATGAATATTAGTAGTTTATGTAGATCTGTTACGTAAGCAAAAAAATTACAGACATATAGCACTTGCAGTATCTGTTCTTTATATTCTCAGGGSTTGCTATAAGCATGTGGAAATAAAAAAAATAAATCATTTTGAAATGCTGCCCTCACAGTCCTTCTGGTTTTGCTTCTAGCTTTGTTCGTCCTCCTTTGATCATCTTCTCTGTTGATGGTTTCCGTGCGTCATATATGAAGAAAGGGAACAAGGTCATGCCCAATATTGAAAAACTGAGTAAGTACATGTGTTTCCTTATAGTGAACACAGGGTCACCTCTTGCAGCCCAGTTGTTCTGGTGGTTTGTTTAGGACCAAACGTCATTGTGGTGCTGGCTGGAAAAAGAGCTGAAAACAGGGCCCTTCTGCCTCAGATTAAAAGATTAAATCTTTTTCTTTCCCATGAAAGTTGGTTTAGCTGGCATCTACTCATGGCTGAGAGCTTGAAGGGCAATCAGAGTGGGAAGAGAGCTGCTTCCTTTGGGAATGCTGCTCAGGGCAGGTAAAGTCAACTTTTAGTCAGAGAAGAAATCAATCTCCAGTACATGGTATGTACCATACACTCTTAYAGTCTGGTGGGGAGATGACCCCACATTTTCCATTTGAGTTGGAGATGAGAACATTAAAGGTAAGAAGTTTTTGCAGGAACCCAAGTGCGCTGTGTGTTTGAGCTTCCCAGGCTGACACAGTAGTTTGTGCATGTGCCCCTACTCTTAAAAGGTGATTTTTCCAGTACTATGTGCTGGCCCTTGTTTTTGTGTAGCCATCAGGGCAGCTGTGGCCCAAGCCTGTTGTGAAACTGAAGCTTTGCTGCATTTGTCACTTAAAATTCGTCTGTTTTTCTTTTGCTCTTTTATTTAATAGCAAGATACTTATAATCGCTTTGGATCTGGAAAGAGGCTGATGCAAAAGGAAGAACTCTATGGAAACTCAGTTGGTTTCCTTCAGCTGYGTTATAATTTTAGTTGGGATCTGTAAAGCACAAAGAGTGCCCGAGGGCCCTGTCCTGTGGGAAGACTGACCACTGTCATAGTGCAGGGTGTTCCTTTGACTTGGTTAAAATTTAACCCATTTCTGCAGTTTACTTCTGCTGTAAGCAAATGACATGTTTTATTTTTGTTTTCAGTGCATGCTGGCTTCACATCCTAATGTTTGCCTTCACTATTGACTTTTTCAGGATCTTGTGGCACACATTCTCCTTATATGAGACCTGTATACCCGACAAAAACCTTCCCCAACCTGTACACCCTTGCCACTGTAAGTCTCTGGGAAGCATTTTTCCTTTTTTGATGATAAAAGTGTGGATTTCTTTTTTAAATTAAAACTACTTGGCTGTCCAACCTGTTCTGCTGTCAGTTAGATATTATACAGATATTATATAAGTATTTTCCTGAACATTTTGAAGTTCTCCGATAAAGTATATCTCACCACTCTGCACCATGTTACAKCTTCCTTGTGCTTTCTCAGGCCTGCTTTTGCTGTTGTTTGTACTGCTGTGTAATTATAGGTCACAGATTTTCTAGGGGGGTAAAAAAAGAGAAGTGCAACCAGCAGAATACAACCAGCAGTTGTTCATCTGCTGGAGTGGCTGCAGCCACTGGGGCTGCCCTAGCAGCCAGGGTCACTTCTTACAGCTCCTGCATATGTCTGGATACCCTGGTGGCAATGCTCAATTCCTCTTTCTTTTTCTTTTTCCTTTTTTTTTTTTTTTTTTTTTTCCTTCTTTCCTTGTTGGCTGCAGCCTTTGCACAAATTTTAACAGGGAAGAGAAATGAGAAATAAATAGTTGGGGACTGGGGACGGGAGGGGGCTGAGGGCCAGGATCAGGATAAAAGGACAGGATAAAAGTAGCCTCTTATATCACCTTTAATGCTGGTGAAATTGTGCAGTGTAGCTCTGGCTCTGGGTGATTTGCCTCAGTTTCTTCTTGGGAATAACCCTTATCTCATGAGGCTCTGGTGAAGATAAAACTTTATAAAATGGAAATGTTCAGTATTACTCTTGCCACCAAAGAATGAATTACTGTTTCTAGAAAGGGTATTCATGGAGAGAAACTGAAACTTCAAATCAATCTCCTTTTCATAAATTTTTGCTTACTTTAGATGGCTCTGAACAAACTTTATCCAGTGTGAAAATACTTTAAAGTATCCAGTAATGGGAGCTTTTGTGCTTCTTAACACAATTCAATCATCTCCTACTGCTTTAATTCCTAGTCAGTTTTAAATGTGCTTATCTTAAAATGAAAATATTTTCTGGCATGCAGTTACCAATTTTTAGGATACCTATTTTAACATAATTTAGTGGTATTTGTGGATAGCTATGGAGAACTGGATTTGTGTGCATTAGTGTTTTACTAATTAATCTCCTTCTGCACAAAGGGACTCTATCCTGAATCACATGGAATCGTTGGCAATTCGATGTATGACCCAGTGTTTGATGCCAGCTTCAATCTTCGAGGGCGAGAGAAATTCAATCACAGATGGTGGGGAGGTCAACCCGTAAGTTTCAGATTCCCTCCTCCTCCTCCTCCTCCTCCTCCCTCCCTCCTTCCTCCCCTCCCCCTGTGCTGTGGAACATAGCCAATAATAATAATTAAAAAAATACATCTGTGAACAATTTGTACCTAATCTCCCCACAGCTGGCCCTGTGTCTATCATTTTAATGTAACATTTTGAGTTGACTTTTTCTTTTCAGAATAATAAAACCATTGATTATGGAAGGGTGCTTGCGTTGATAAGTATAAATTAGATGTGGTTAGGAAAAAACCCTCACTTTAGGCAGCAGTTTAACACGAATTACTATATTTTTGTCATCGTGGCATAATGTTTCCTTTTCATTATGGGTTTCCCAGGTTTTCGTCCTAGCAATGTTCTTGTGGCAGCTGGAGTATTAATGTTCTGTCAGAGCAGCGTGGCACAGCTTCATAATTATAATTTGTGAGGCCCACAAGTGATCACTGTTACCCAACTTGCTGTAGAAGCTGTAGAAGTTCGTGAATTAATTTCTGCTTTGAAGCCAGCAGCAATGGTTGAACTAGATGCTGTCTCACATAACGGTGTGGGGAGTTGGTTGTTTCCTGTCCTTGAATCCTTATTCTGGGCAAGTACATGGTGCCCTTCAAAGCATCCTGCCTTACTATAACTAAGAAGGTCCCTGTGCTTCCGCTGCATTTTCTCCTCTTGGTTCTATGGTGGCTTCATTTAAAGTACCAGTGAAAGTGGGTTTAAATTAAACTATTAGATTTTACATGCTAAGATGCAAGCATTTCATTGAATTGATAGTTCTTTAGTTCTCTTTAGTGGAGAGTTGTTTAAAAAAAAAACCAACCAAGTAACCCTGCAAGAAAGGTGATGGATGTGGGGGAATCAGGAAGGGATTGGGAATGCCACAAGTTGTCAGAGCTCTTTGCTGACGGTCCTGGGTCAGCCCCCAAACCCTATCTTAGTCCCAAGAGACTAAATAGAGTTACCCAGATGGTTTGGGGCTTATTAGGCTGATGTGTGCTATTTGTGTGTGTTTATAGTCTGCAACAAATGCAAATCAAGACAATTTAGAGTTACAGAACAGATATGTGACCAGCAGATGTATCTGGCTATAGCTGAACCAGAATGAGATATTTGCTCTCTTGTCAACTTCTCAGTGTAACAGTGAATGTAGTCACTGCCTTACCCAACTGTGACCTGGGTTAGCTTTTAACATGGCTTGTTTGGACAGGACAGGGTGAGGAAATGTGCTTTGCTGTCCTGGTAGACATGAGCAAAGGAGAGGGAGGACTGAGGACACATGCAGTGAGAGGGCAGCAGGAGGTAACTTCTTCATCTGTCCCACGTGCAGCCACAGCTCCTTGCAAGCCAGTCCCTGTTTTGCAGTCCTCTGCTTAAATACAGAGCTTACAGGCAATTGTGGCTCAGCAGCTAAGTGATTTTCTAATTAGCTGTAACTTAATTATGCATTGCTAATTTTATTGTTTATCCTATCTTAATCAAAATTAAGTCAGAGTTAGTTTCTCTGTTGGGGACTCAAAATGCCTCTAATTGTAAACAACACTATTTTAGAATTCCCACACCCACCCAGTAGAAACATCTGTGTTGTTCCAGAGCGTAGAAGTTGCAAYGGGTTGTAAACAGGGGTCATGAAAAATGTCAGCAGAGAAGAGCTGAGGGAAGCTGTGCAAAAGTGGATCATCACAAGCCAAACATGATTCTCAGCGTAYAGTGGGTAGTGCTGCATGCACAAGTACGGGTGATAAAAGAGCTGCTTTGGAGAAATGTTAAAAAAATATGTAATAAACTGGGAATGTCTTTGGAGAATAGGAAACATGCATAGGGGAGGAAAGGAATTCAGGCCCAGATACCTGCAAACTTACAGGGAAATCTATAGCCTTGACAAATCTGATAAAGTTGACATCGTAGCTGGTGGTAGTGGAAGGTGGTAGATCTCTTGCAGAAATATTATGATGTGAATGYTCCTCCTCCTGCTTATGGAGGAGCTGCACATTTTGCACAATTTCACTAGTAAAGTCAAGAAAATGTCAGGATGAGCATTAAAACTGAAAGGACAGGTTCGTTCTGATGAAGAAGAAAACCTCTCTGTCTGCATATGGTTTGGACACATTCCCAAGGCCTTTAAATAATTCTCTTTAAATACTACAGTGGTTGACAAAGATAACTGAGTAGTCAAAGATGAGAAAGGAAAATTGAGTGGGGGTGGGAAGCAAAACCTTGGCTAGTGTTTTACARGAACATTTATTTGGATGGCTTCTTTTATGTCTTGAGTCTGAAGCTGAAGTACTAGGACAACTTCAGCATGGTGCTTGGTTAGGAACTGTGACCTAAAGCTGGTCACAGGAATTTCTCCAGGAAAGGAGTAAAAATGTCTAGCATCTCCAGCATTACCAAAGGGCTAAAACTGGCTGGAAGAGAATGTCATTTAATGGTGATCATTTCTGAAATACTTGCCTGCTCATGGAAACTGGTCTATTGTATCTTTGACAATTTTTTTTGATTACTTGTACATAGCYAGCACCTTGCTGGGAAACATCCAGGCTGCCATGGGACATCAGTGGGATTTGGCAGATGAGTAGCTGAGTGTTTCCACATCAGGAGTTATGAGAAATTAATTTTAAGAGCATTAAGAAAAGCAGAAGGGGGGAGAGGGTAGTTTGGAAGGATTTCAAGGCATTCTGACTGATTACATGACCTCCTGAGACCTAGATTTGTGGCTTAGCATATTAAATGGTGGTTTAAAACAGAAGTTTTAAACCTTGTGTTTTAAAACAAAAATGTTTGACAGTATGCATATGCATAACCTCCCATTATCATTACTTTTCTACATCATCTCACCTCTCTGTTTTTCATGACACAGAGACTGTTTCCTCCATGCAAATTTAAACACTTAAGTGAACAGCCAAAATGAGGCCGCCCGCTGCCTAGACATGTTTTTCCATCTCTTTCCATTTGTGGCATCTTAAATATTTTCTAATTAGTAATTTGATGCAGTGAGCTTAAGTTTACTGATGATATGTTGCTTGTCTTAATGACCTTTCATGATCCTTGGAAATAACCTGTTGGCCCTCCTGAAAACAGAGTATGACAGGTATAAAACCACTATCCAGTAATTAATGAAGACAGAGGCTCCCTCGGCAGCGCTGCCTTCTGGGGGTCTGAATTTGCCTACAAAGACACCTCTTCTCACTATGAGAAATATATTTTAGTACTGAGCATTGTTTGGGGAACATTTTATGAAGCTTTGTCCACTAGTAGCCATTTTAAGTGAAAATGACTCTCCAAAAAGACTCAGTTTGAGATACGGAACTGAGCGTTACAAAAGAGACATCATGTTCCTAAGCAAGGGACATATGTCATGTCATAAAGCTGTTTTTATAGTCTCCAGAGGCTGGACCTCATTGCTACACATCTTAACTGTATATTCCTAATGCTTATCTGAACTTCACATTCCCTATCAGAGCTATTGTTGGCATAAAAACAATCGTTTCGCTGCTCAGATAATTTGAATTTTGTTTCTTCGGACTYTGAGGGTCACAGATGGGACGTCCTGTGTTGATCGTCCTTGCCTGGCCGACTGCGGTGTAGTTACAGCTGAGGAGGAGGAGGAAGGGCTCTGCAGAAAGCTGTGACCTGCCTTTGCATCCTGAGCTTTCATCATGTTTTGCTGCTACTTTGTCATCAGTAGAAGGAAGAAGGTTGTTGAGGGAAGAAGGGAGATGTGTCTGCCAATTTTGAGCTTTGTGAGAAGGGTTTCTTTTCCTTCACTTGAACTATGTGAAAGAAATGGGGCTCTGTGATTCTGTTGTATTAATTAAAAAGCTTCTTGAACCAAAATTTTCTGTTTCGGGCAGAAGAGTAAACCTGAGGCGCTCCAACCAGCTGGGGTTGCGTTCTTCACTGATGATTAAAAGCAGAGAATCACAGAACGTTTAAGATTGGAAGGGACCTTTAGAGATCATCTAGTCCAACCCCCTGCTCCAGCAGGGACACCCAGAGCACGGGGCACAGGGCGGCATCCGGGTGGGTTTGGAAGATCCTCAGAGAAGGAGACTCCACAACCTCCCTGGGCAGCCTGTTCCAGGGCTCTGTCACCCTCACAGGAAAGAAGTTCTTCCTCAYGTGCAGATGGAACTGCCTGTGTTTCAACTTACACCCATTGCCCCTTGTCCCATCATTGGCCACCACCGAGAAGAGCTTGGCCCCTTCCTCCCTACATTCCCCTTTCATGAACTTATATGTTAATCATATCCCCTCTCAGCCTTCTCTTTTCCAAGCTAAACAGGCCCAACTCGGTCTCTCAAAAGCTAGCACTCTTTGTCCCTGCTGTCTCCATTTGAAGCTGCCTCACTTGATTTTTSTCTGTAATATCTATATGCAAACACGTCTTGTTTAGGAGGTACAAGAAGACAGGGAGAACTTGGAGCTTGCAGGTTCCTCACAGCATGGCCACACAAAGTGTGCTTCCACTCATTAACAAAGGAGATGAGTTATAGTCATGCAGACAGGGTATAAAAGTTGTAATAATTCAAACAAGAGGATGTGTTTGGTGTGCACGTAGCAAATCATAGTTCCTGGGACACTTGCCAGTGTACTAGAGTTGAATCTGTGGTCCCATAATTTAACAGGGTTTTCTGTGTTGGAAAAGTTGGGTAATCCCTCATGCTTGTGACTTGATGTGAGTAAAGATTGGTTAAAATTTTAATTTTTTTATATCTCTTACTTTCTCCACTGCTTAAGCAAATGCATTCAGAAATAYAGCCTTTGCATTGCTTGCAAGATAATAAAGTCTTGTCCCAGAGGCAAAATAGGTTGACATGGTTAAAAAGCTTACTATACAATTCTAACATATTAACAGTTAAATCCAATTTATTTACATATGGCAAATAAATTACATAAGCTCACAAATGGTATTGACCTTGCAATGCCCAACACAGCAGATTTTATGGTAAGTGACCTGAACAGATGTGATCAACGACAGAGGCTAGTATAACACATTACACTTGCATGCACAGTACTGGAACATCTTGGATTAATTAACTTATAGACTGTGACTCTAACCAACAGAGATGAAATGGAATAATAACCCTTACTCCTGTCTTAATTTCTGTTGTTCTGGATAGTTAAGGCTGAGAGAGCATCAGCTACATCTTCTTTTTCTCTCAGTATGTTAGCTCGGAAGAGATGACTTGCTGTATTGTGCAAGGAAAAAAAATTTTCGAAGACTGAAAGATGTTACTTCAAGGCTGAGCTGTGTGCTTTTCTGCTAGGATTTCTGTGCTATGGATGAAGAGAACAAGGAAACTTATGTGCTCACATCACCTACTCCAGCTGTCAATCTTTTGTCTAATTGTGCTAAGTGATAAAAGAGATGGATAATAAAGCAGAGCATCTGAGGCTGCTGCTGCTGGATTCACCGGTGATAACTGTCACAGCTGTAACACACTGGGAAATTGTTTTAAAGTATTTTTAATGTGAATAGAAAAGCCTGACATGCAGAACTGCTCTTACTTCTCTGAATGAAGATGCCTTTGCAAGCATTTAGTTGTGTGTAGTGCCTTTAGGTACAATGAATTGTGCTTAATTTTCTTATTTTGATTTGAAATAAACCAAGCTCCCCACTCTATTTTTAAGCTCTAATAGCATTTTATTATAGTCCTGAGTTAGGAGTCAATGCAGGTTAACCTCTCTGACGTAGGGGTCAGATATGGACCATGTGTTTTGCTGGTCTTTGACTTGAAAAGATCTTTGTCTTAGTTGCAGAGCTTATTTCAAGGCCAGCAGATGTGTCCTCATCCCAGCGTTTAATACAAATATAAATTGCAGTTTTCCTGAAGTGGATTTCTTGGAAGCAGGGAGGCTGCTGTTTTCCCTATCTGGCTGCCTTTGGAAGAGGGAGTCCAGCTTTCTCCTCACTTCTGCCTGTTTAGAGCTGATCCAAAGGAGGTACTAGGAGTGTGCAAGGAAGGATGATCCYGGTTTTCCTTGCCCTGAGGACATTGTCAGGCCTTGCAGCTGGATATAGGAACAGCTCTTCAAGGCCTTAGTTTAAAACAGAGAAGCTTTCTCTCTGCAAGTTTGTCTCTTGCCCTATCCTGAACTTGGTACTGTGAGAGCTTTGCAGAAGTTTTCTGGAACCAGTGTCCTGTGAGGAGGACTGGTTAAATCTGCTGCATCTCTGGCTTTGCACAGGTGGGAAGTGGATGGCGTCACCTCCTGCTCAGGATGGCAGTCATGCAGATTTCGTTTGGCATCCATAAAGCAGGCTGTGTGCTGGACCAGAATAAAAAGTAGCTACCAACTTCTTGGCCAGAGTGAAACTGTCTTTTGGAACAAGTTTTTTAATTGGATAATTTCACCAGGGCTACGAGGCAGGAGCTGAGCGGGACAAGTTGAGCTGCTGCATGTGGAAAGAGTCTGGTCTCATTTGGCCTCTCCGAGACAGATSAGACTGCTTGGATCTGTGCAGCCCATAGTCCTAGAAAGCTAAATGAGAGTTAACAGATGGTAAAATCCAGATACTAAATTCCCTGAACTTCAGTTGTTGGTAGCAACCCAAAGATATCTGCAAAATTATTTAAACTTTGCAGGAACACAGACACTTGCAAAGAAAAATAAATCTGTTGCGGATCAGCAGGGATCATAGTTTTCCAAATACAGTAAGACCAAAGAGCAAGACAGGAGTGGAGCTCATGCTGGATTTGAGTTTGACCTCTCAGGCTCTCTGCTACAAGGGGTCTCTACTCTAGGGGTGTATCTGCAGCTATAAGTGTGCTTGTCACCTGGGTAGTCCAAGAGCAACTAGTGAATAAGGACAAGCAGATCTGTTTGTAGTCCATACCTCCATGCAAGACTGGGACTACCCACTTTGGAGGATGATGCTGGGGAACTCCTTGTCTAGTGTGAGCCTAAACCAGTAYAAACCACCCCTGAAACTGGACTCTTGTCTGGAAACCCCTGAAAACCAAAAGCTGCATATCCCTGGCCATTCCCATCCCTATTGTTGCTGCTTTTATTTAGTAAGCCACCATGCCTGTAAAGCTACTAAGGGTGTATTCCTCCCTAGAAAAGAGGATATAGTGCTGAAAACTTGGAAAGAGAGAAAGACAAATATTCTTTTATAACTTTGATTTCGATATAATTAGATTAAGTTGAGTAAAATTTGGAAGAACTGAGGATGATGCAGAGAACAGGTATGTCTAGGGGACATGTGGACTGAAGGGCAAAGATACCCATTTTTTTTCATGAATATAACATTTTCCAGATATAACTACCATTTAGWATAGACTCAATGTGGAAATGTTCTTTCATCAGATTGTGCCAAATTTGCTTCAGTTAAAGCCAACATGTGAAAAATGGCATACAAATAATGCAAGCCCAGATGACCGTTTTAAATATCYCCTTCAGCCAAGTAATAGTGGTCTTGAATGTACTTTTGAGCTGCTGATTTAAAGTAAACCAGGAATGTTGCTATTACCAAGTAAGCAAACTATGTTTTGGCTTAAAGTGTCATGAAAGAGATGAAATGGAGTATGCATAAATAATGTACATGGGAAAGAAATAACCTAGCTATATATACAATACTGTCCTTTAAGCCATTATTTCTTAAATGGCTTTTGAAATAAGTTCTTTGCAAAATAAATTTAGTTCTGTCATGGCATAAATTCATATTGCATACTTACCTAAATCTTGGGGCTTCCAGATTTTTGATCATTCTCACTCCCTTGCCGTGTGTGTGTGTGTGTGTGTGTGTGTGTGTATAAATAGAGAGAGAAGGATAATGAGGCTAGCCAGAGGTATGAAATGACTTTCATTAAAGAAAGATCAAACAAACCAAGGCTGCTGTAGCTTGAAAAGGAATAAGTAGAGAAGAATACCGAAAAGGCTTATATAATCATGAAAGGTATGCAGAAATGGGAAGAGAATGGATTAATAACTTTTTTTCACAATATGACAGCTTCACCCTAACCTTGGTAAAATTGGCAGGCTTAAAGCAACAAATGAAAAATACACCCTTGCAGGATGTGATTGCCCAGTGGAACTTGCTGCCACAAGCTTTTGTGGAAGCCAGAAAAATAGATGGGTTCAAATCAAAGGTTTGATGGAACATGGAAGTTGTTTCCATCATTCCCATCAATCAGCATTTTGGTTGAGCTCAGAAAGCCCGTAATCTCCAGCTGAGGAAGAAGATTCAACTCATTCCTCTGCTCACTGTGTCTACACCATTTCTGCATGTACTTTCCAAAAGCATTTTCTACTGACTGCTCCTGAGTTAGAGCAACCTGTATTCTGATCCTGTGTAGTTTTATGTTGTTACATCTTACATGTGGAGTAGATTCTTAACAGAATATTATTATTATTAAAAAAAAAAAAAAGGGCTCAAGTGAAAGACGACTGCTTTTGAAAGCCAGGTGGTAACTGGGRAAGTGCCTAGCCATGCATCTCAGTGCTTTGCATTGAGAGCAGCACAGGTATGTAGGGCTGAAATGGCTTATGGCATAGCTGGAAAACACTGATTAACTGCACAGAATCTGCATGGGTTTGTTACTCTGAGGGTTTGAATTAGGGGTGCTGGCTGGAGACTGCAATTTTTATTTCTAAGTTCAGTGCCTTGAAAACATTTTCTTTTGATTTTAGAGGGGCATTAAAGACCTAAACACATTCTAATCCTCTTATATTTTGCTCATTAGATTTGGATTACGGCAGCCAAGCAAGGAGTGAAAGCTGGCACGTTCTTCTGGTCTGTGTAAGTGCCCTCTGTTTTCTGGAGAATTGTAACCAATAATTCACAACTCATTTCATACAAGTGTTTATTAAGCTGTTTTACTTGCTCTAAGCATTCARTGTCTGCCTGGTTGGAGGCTATGTCTATAACCCTCTTGTGTTCCCTTTGGGTGATATTTCTTAGAAGTAAAACAAAGGCTATGATTTGTAATCATAGGTTAGGCTTCCAAATCAGCAACTTGACAGAGCTTCAATGCTCTACAAGACAAAGAAATTTATATGATTCTAAAGATTATGGCTAGTTGGTAGTCATAAACACCTGGGCTGGTAGTCATTTGCATGCTTTGAAATACTAAATGTTGTGGAAGATAAACAATTATAGTTCATATGATTGTCTATATTAAGGGAGGGGTTCAACCACTTTATGTATGAATGATGCATATTCTCCTTAAAACTATAGTATTTAATTTGAGGCTTTTTTTTTTTAGATTAACTGTCTTTCAGGCAAACATAAGTATTAACATGATTTCACTCTTAAATGACTGAATCGGCCTAATGTGGATTTTTCAAATTGCACCTTTAATAGAAATCACAAACTGAGCAATACAAGATTGTTACTCTTCTTTATCATATAGCATATAACTGGGYATTACCATAAAGTGGAATAATAGTCTTGGATACTGACCCAAGATATGCAATTTTTTTAGCATAAATTCTCATTCTTATAGCTATTTTATAATGGAAGGTTGTCCTCACAATGGGAGACTCGGGGCTACTGTTGCTCTGCAAGGCAAAAAGAACTGATTTGTTTAAAAATGGCTAAGGGCATCCTTATTTCACTGTTGAATGTGCTTCCAAATAATGTTGAATTTGATTCAACATGGTAAATCTGGGATAACTGAGTTTGATTCCCTGCTCGAGCAAGGGGGTTGGACTAGATGGCCCTTCCAACCTTAACCATTCTGTGATTCCTGACTCAGGAATCCGTTGATCTGACGGAGTCTGGATCAACAAATGCTACCATGTTATAGTAAGAGCACGGTCAGTGACCTATAGAGCCTTCTTAAGATGAGAACTTTTGAAGTTTAGCAGTTTGTTTATAAAGCTAGTCATTCTCATAGCGTGAATTTTGGCCTCAGCAACCTAATGAGGAGTTTCGGGATGCAAACAGTGAAATAGGATGAACATGTTTCTCAGAGTGAGAAGTAGTCAAAGTTGGGCAAGTTACTGTCTTGTTGGCCTGGTGYTCCAGATGGATCTGTTGTGGTTTACGTTGGCTTAGCCCTTCGTTCAGTTTCTAGTAAATCAATGGGAACTCTTCCAGTATCTTTTAAGACTACCAGAGAAGGATGATTGTGTAAACTTACACTGACATGAGCAATTTCATGATTTTTATTCACGACAGCTTTCCATTGGACTTCTGTGGCTGTGCTGTTGTTAATTAAACTGGTTTACCTGGGTTGACTACAGGAATCTTCTTCACTGCTGTTTTGAACAATTAAACCTAGTGCCTTGAGTTCTTACCTTCAGGGGCAAGCATTTAATCATCTTTCTCTTGAGATATGTGGACATCCAGCAGATCTGAAGTGCTTCTGCTTACAAAATAAGAATTAGTACCAAATGAGAGGAAAGTAAAACATACTAAAGGAAGATGTTGCTTGTGATATTTGGTCTTGATCAAATCAGAGTCTGTTTGCAGTGCAGCTTTTTGGATGCCTTTTGTATTCTGTGATAACCAGGCATACTTTTTGCATTTTTTGATCCAGTGTCATCCCTCATGAACGCAGGATATTAACTATACTGCAGTGGCTAACCCTTCCGGATAATGAAAGGTAATTCACTTATTGTCGTCTCCTGTTGCATAATAGCTCCTTTCCTCTCCATAGAAGCAGCTGGAAGAGCAAGGGGAAATGTTGAAATGTTATTTCCACACCCCCACCTCTTTCTTTTCCTTTTTTTTTTTTTTTTTTTTTTTTTTTTTTTTTTTTAGTAATATAATTAAATGGAGGATTTTTTTGGTAGATCCTAGCTTTTAGTCATTAATATTTTGATTCTTCTCAATAAATATATGCTATGCATTATTGTTTCTATCAACAAACATGTGGTTGCATGGATTAAGCTGGATTGTTCTTATGCTGTTGAGTCAAATAACGGCTTAACAACCTTATAGACAATGGCAGTTGCAGAATTGTACCCCAAGAACTGAGGAAAAATTAAGATTTTAATTATCACTATTTTTTTAGGGCACAAGTTCTCACAAGCTGCTAACTACAAAGCTTGTGTGAGTTACTGCTATGATCTCTCTTACAAAATTAAGAAAAAGTTATATGTCCTTAGGTGGTACCCAATGAGCCTTTCTGCATGTGCGCTTGGATTTAATGAATTTGTAGAATAACTAATTGCTTAATATTTTAATATTGCTTAATATTGTTAATTACTTAACCGTTGACCTAAAAACGGTTTCTTTCCTTGAGGCCAGCTCTAGTTGGATGGTCGGTGTGATTTGAGTTGGCCTGGCAGGTTTGTTTTCTTCTTGTTGTCTAAAGCATTTCTTTCTTTCAGGCCTTATGTTTATGCCTTCTATTCCGAACAACCAGATGCTGCCGGCCACAGATATGGTCCTTTCAACTCAGAGGTTAGTATAGCTTTTCTTTTGTACAGCAAGCASGTGTCTTGAATAATTTTTGGAATAATTGCTACGCTCAAGAGTAACATTTTTAGCAATTTAGCATTTTTTTCCTCCTGATTCTGCAGTATGCTTCCTCTATGCCAGAGAAAGAGCAAAATTATTGTCTTAAGGATTTATCATCTGAGATTCACTTTTAAGAAGGAACTGCCAATGCCTTTCAGAAGACTGCTTCTCTGTGTGATATAATAATACAAATGGAAAGATTTCCTTGGCAAAAACATGCAATTAGTGGGTCCAACAGCACAATTTAACATTTCTCAAACAATTTCTCCTTCTCCAAAGTAATAAAAAAATCAGTCAGAAAATATTGAAGGAAAAGACAGAGAAGGAAAAAGGTTTCTTTAAAGCTGATATCCTGCAGTAGCCAAACTGATAATTTCAGTCTGTCATGAACTCCTTAAAAACTGCTATTTCTAGTTGCATATAGGCCCTCCAGGGGTTCAGGAAGTTCTGCCAATAGTGTTCCCTTAGCACTGGACTGTTGAGTTTGGAAAATGTTTTGAAGCACAAAAGGTTATTTTAATGAAAAATCATGTACATTACAGTAGTTTAACCCCTTAAATGAGCTTTCAATAGCTGACTTGAAGTACAACATGCTKCTTTCCTGACAAGGCTGAGCAGCTTACAGGCACTTAGACGGTTTCTTCCTTGTGCACTTGAAGCACCCTATTGGACAGAAGGAAGATGTTCTAGCTAAACTGAACAGTCCAAACAGTCCTGACAAGACTGTAGGACCCCACTGGTCATCTTGATGTTGTCATTTGGCTCACATGAGGAGAGACGGCTGACTTGGTCAAACAGAAAATAAGATTTCTCTGGTCCTGACACAGTTCAGTGGAGTGTTATGGTTCCTCTTACTGAAGTGTTACAATTGCTATTTGTGCCTTATGACTGACAACTGTAGTTCTATTTATCTTCAGTCATACAATTCCTTCTGAACAGAGTTGTAGGGCTCTTTTCTTGCACTTGGAGGAGGCTCTGAAGATGRCGTTGAATTTGTTCTTTAAATTTGAGCCTTTAATAAGCCAGTTAAGAGTCTGATGCTGCAGTAAAAATCATTACAAAAGCAGAAAGCCCCTGATGGCTTTTGTTGTCTAGGGATTTATCTGGATAATTATCTAAAGTTTGGCCCCTAATTGCAAGGAAGAGTTTAGGCTTTTAGGAAGTGTGAATTGAGAGCTTATGAAGGTTTTACAAATAGATTGATTAGCGCCATTTGTGTAAAATGCAAGAGGAGCATTAAGGTGAGTTTTAGCAAATTGAGAGCAGAATTGAGATTTGTTGGGGGACTGGTTTCAGGATAAAGAATCTAGGAAGTATTTTATGCTGTTGCTCTTTTCGTTATGTTTTCAGCATAGTTTTTAGGATCTACAAAGCTTGCATAAAACAACTGCGGAGGGTGTCCTCAAAGGGACAACTCTTTCAGCTGCTTCCTTGGTACTGAGAGAATGACCTCCCCATTAAATCATTCTTCTAGTGCTGGCAGAAGTTAGACAGTTAGACTAGTGCTGACTATTTTATTTCATGCAAAGGTTTATCAACATAACAATGATGTTATATACATATGTGTGTGTGTATATATATATATATATATGTATATATATATATATGAATGATGTCTGTTATATTTAAAATGGGCTTCTGGTTTCTCCTTTTGAACAGTGTACATCTTACCTGGGCTTTTCTTACTGCATTTAGTATCTTCAGGAAAAAAGATGTATTTCTTGAAATTCTCCAAATGTCTATTAGAGTAAAGTGGGTGTTTTCTAGAGATTCTTACTCCAAATAATGCTCTGAATGTATGTTCTTGAAGGTCTGATGGCATTCACTGCTGAATATCTTCAGCTTACAGTGACTTCAGCTGATGACATTCAGAACCTCACAGGACATGCACAACAACCTATATGCAGAGTGCTTTAAAAACTAGAAATAAAGTGAATTAGAAGCACTTAAACCTTATGGCTGAATTGMCAGTGTTGTTGATATCAGTGGGATATAGGTTGTGGCCAATGACTGTTGCAGTAACTTCATGTTCTCTGATATCATGAGTTTCAATGTAAATGGTACTACTTGTCCAGGTATTATTTTGGTGGGACCTTAATAAATGTCCTTGGATGTTGGTTTTTTTTTTGGAGTTTCCATCTTATTTTCAGGAGCAGTTGATGGGAAGTATCAAATRTATGCTTGCTCTTGATTTACTTCTGCATTTTTTTTTCTTTCCCTCTGTGCTTCTGCAGTTGGACTCTGGTAGGTTGGTCCGTCTGGGTCAAGAAGCAGAGCTTTGGCTGGCTAGTTACCCTTGTGATGTTCCAGTACCCTCTGTAAGCGGGGAGGGATTTGTTTCCCTCCTCCATAACTCTACTCTGCCCCTTTTCAAGCAAGACTAAGATTTGGCTGGTTAATAAGAACTTGGCTTTTTTTTTTTTTTTTTTTCTTCAAGCTAACTTTTTTTGGATATAAGATATTCTGGAAATACATTACTGTAAGAGCTCTAAAACCCATTGAAAACTGGCATTGCTAAGCCGTTCCTGCTGCTCCTCTAACACATTGTCTTGAGACGGCCATTTTCGGTGTCCAGAACTCCTGGGTTTCCTGCGCTCGTGTGTTTCTGGCAGCGTGAAGCTCTGTCTAACTTTATTCAGAGAGAGTAAAACGAAACTCCTTCCTTTCCCTGCCGCTGCTCTCATCAGGACTGCACAAAGCTTGAAGCGTTTTTAAAACAGACAACTTTGGTGCTGCTTTATTAAAATGCCTTTTGGGAGAGAGATGAATGAGACTGGACTAGAATCTCCTTTGCAGCTGCTTGCCTTGGAAGCAATGAAACAGCATGGCAGATGGTAACAACCCCTTCCTTCCCCTTCCCTATTTACATAGCTCTGTAACTGAACAACTGTGGGAAGCTGACTAAACACACAGAAGTAAATATCATCATAAATCACTGATTCTTCTCAAACCCACTCAGTGTGATTTGTTATACTCGTTATTGTAGTTACTGTCTGGGGCTGCTTTCCTGAGTAGTTCAGAAAGCCTCCAACTTGCACTGAAGTCAATAGGAGCTCTACGGTTTAAAAGCATTAGTGAGTTAAATAGTGGTAGTTGTTTTTTTCCCTCAACCAAGTCTTAAAAAAGTTTCTTTTTTTTTCCCCCCTTCTGTAAGTCTATCTCAGTTATCTGTGCATTTATGAGGAAAAAAAACCCAGTATTATCTATATGAGATCTACTGAAAGTGCTAGGAAATGTAGTTCTAAAATTTCCCATAAAACTAGCACAAGSCAAGTAGCAGTGCAGCTTTTTGGTGCACTGCCATTAGTGAACCTGCCCTGTTGAGCTGCTTTGAAAGATATAAGCTGCAGGTCCCAGAGCTCCCACATAGTGGCTAGAGGGACTCTGGTGTTCTTAGTGGGGTACAAGGCCTACATGAATGGTGACACCGACTGATGCTGCTCATAAGGGTACCTAACCCTTATGTCACCGATTCAGCCAAAAATGTGTGTGGGAAACCTTGCAGAAAGCCATTCCTACTGGGTAGGTGTGAGGACTCATACCCATCAACCAAGCGAGGTGCTTCACTCCCAACTTTCCTCTCCCTCAAGCAATAATCAGATTGTCTGCAGAGAACTTATATCGGGAGTTCTTTGGTAATATTAGTGGATCTGATGAATAAAAAATAACCCAAACTATATCTTTTTTAAACATATAAGCCCCAGCTACCCTCTCTTGAAATACCAATTTAATTTGCTTTTATGCTGTCTGCTCTTATAACTGCTATTCTGCTTTCAATACAATTTGGTGGATTCCTCTTTAAAGAGAGACAGACCCTAAATTGTCCAAATGCCTAAATTTTTGAAGAGGCCACTATATTTGTGCTTGAAGATGCGCTGATACAGGTAGCTTTGTATCTACTGTGAGTCAAGATGGGCTTTTTTTTCTGAGTCCAGACATCTCTCCCCGCCAGTACAGGAGAGTAGTTATGGCTCCCCTCTTACTCCGCCTAAGAGAAAGCTTGCTCCTAAGAGGAGGCAGGAAAGACCAGTGGCAGCTCCAATGAAAAGAAGAAGGAAAGTACATAGAGTGGATCAGTATGCTGTGCAAGCTCGCCGGAAGAAAGTAAGTTCCATGTCTTCCAAAACTTTATGTCAGAAGTGCCACTTTTGAGGCCCTTCTTTAGCTTTATCTTTTTTTTTTTTWATTTTTTTTTTTATTTTTTTCAACTTGAGAGTTCCCTCCTTGCTTCAGATTGGGAGGCTGCAGACAGACCTTCTGTAAGTGCGCTGGAGGACCCAAAGGAAAGCAGCCAAAAAAGACCAGGTTTTCTGGGAACTGCGTTTCTTGCTTCAAGCGCTGCTTTAGGGGAAGTCATCTTTGAAATCTCTTTAAAAACCCAGCCATCAGTTGGAGGCAATGTCAAATAAATCCCATGGAAGTGTTGCCAACATCTGTGAACTACCACAAAGTCGGAGGTACTTGGTAGCCACCTTAACTCCCCAGGTCTTGCAGTTCTCATGAGCATTTGAGACTGTCTCTAGTCATCCTGTTTATGGTGAAATCCTGAAAACATGACTCTCAAAAACTAAAAGGAAAAAAGTTTGAAAACTGTTTTAAAATAACTATTTTAAAGCCAATGAATGATTTTTGTAGGGTAAGGGATTCTTAATTACATGATTTCTGAATGCCAGATGGCAATAGAAGCGAGTGCACAGTGGTATGCCTGTTTTTGTGGGAAATTGCTTCTTTGGGAAAAAGGTGACAGTGGAGGAAAATGATCTTTCTTAGTGTTCTGCCTTTCTCCACCTGGCACTAACTGACACTTTGGGAGGGGCAATATGCAACTTCTGCCTTTTCATTTAGGAATTTTAACTAAATAGTTTAAAAAGTTAAAAATAAGCTACCTAAATCTCTCTCCTTTAGGCTTAAATCAAAAGTCTTGACTCTATTTTACTTTATTTTACAAGAGGCCGTAGATAGTCTCCTCAATATGTGTGCAGTGTATTCTAACTTGTTGCATGTGCTGCAAAGATTCGACTTAAACTAGTCACTCTGAGACCCGTTCTTAAAGTGGGAAAGAAAAGGACATAAAAGGCTTCAAAAACAGTTGTGAGGAATAAGAAAACTGTTTTTCTCAGAGTACTTTTGACACTTATTCAAGAGAAGAACTGATAACTGCTATGGACAATATTACCATTATTCTAATTATGCTAATATTACCTGGAAAATTTTACCTCTCTGGCATTAAGTGTTTTAAGTAGCCTGTAGCATTCTCCCTAATATGTTTTTTTCTTTCTGCAAATGAAAATTTTATCCAAACTTCTTATCCCTTTCAGAACTCTTAATGGAAAGTCAACTGTGAATTTGTCAGTAGAATTTCAGAAAAACAAATCCCACCGTTACAAATATTTTCCATCACATGTACAAGTTAATCTTTCTGTGCTATTTGAGAGCAACAGAATGTAATATAGACTAGGATCCTACAAAGGAAAGAAAACCAGCATATAATAAAATTCATTCTTCCTCCTAATCAAGCTTCTTCTATGAGAAACAATTTAATTATGGTCTGCATGACTCAGATCTCATACCCCATGCTTTTATAATAATAATGTCAGGTCAGTTCACTCTTCTAGTGCCATCTCTGATATCCACATGTCTTCAGCAGCTTCCCAAAGACCTGAGAGCAGCATATAACTAAGGAAAAGTACCTTTCAGATTTTTATTTGTTCASTAATGAACCTTGCACCTGGGAAAACAATTGACTTGTGACAATGGTGTGTGAATAGAAAAAAAAAAMCACTTGACTGAATATGCCACCTACAGCCAGACTTACCCTTCAGTGACCATTTGGGGGAAAAAATGTGTTCAGGATAGAAAAATAAAATAGCTAACCTTTAAAACCTGAAGAGCGAAAGTATTGAGATGAAGTAATACGAATGAGAGTCTGTCTTTGAGCTGCTTTGAATAGAAATGACAGAGTTGGAGATTTTTTGTGGATTCTGTGAGCTTGTTTCTTTTAAGAGCGGGATTTTTCATTTATGTTGACTTTCTTTGAATTTCAAGTGTCTCTGCTGACCTACAAATGAAATTGGTGAAGAGAGCTGCTAAACTGGTCTCTAAATACTGTCCTTTAAACAAATTAAATTCCCTAAAAGTCTTTGAAATCTCTGTGCACATTGTTGCTTTTTTTTCTTATGAAAGAAGCCTCAAGCTCACTGACAAAAGTTAACCTTAATGMAAAATCCATCTTGATTTCCATTTTTCTGGAATAAGTTTTGGATTMTGAGAAGCAGTTGGAAGTAGTTGTATTTCTTTGTGATTGATGTTATACAGAACTTCAAAAAAAATCTTATTCATTGAAAAATATCTATTTTTTGACCGTGGGAGAATGCTGAAACAGAGAATTTTCTTGTAGCCCTGTTTTTTTTTTTTTTTTTATTATTATTATTTAAACTCGGAATGTTTCATGGCCTTAACAACACTAACTATTTAGACTTTCCTGAATCAAAATATTTCCAAATCCCACCCTGTGCCCAAATCACTACCATGCGTTACAGAAATTGTTCTTGTTCCTCACTGAGATTTCATCTTCTGTGAGCAGTTTCTTCATGATGTTACAGTGCCACATGGGATATGACATTTCCTGTGTGATCTTATGAATTATCAGGCTCATATATCATTCTTTAATGATTCAGGCAGAGGAAGGATTTCTGAACATTCTCTTTCTGGGTCATATTCAAGTGATGTTTGTTTTTTCTTGTCAGMAAATTCTGCCAAATTCTAGTTTTTCTCATCCTAAATTTGTTAGCATTCTGCTTYTTTCACTGGAAGAATGTTTTGTTCCAGATACTCAGACAAGCCAAATCAAACAGAGAAGTAAGGAGGAAGTCAGCAAACTGTGACAAGAAAGCTTTTCTTCTCAAAACCAAAACAAAATCCAAGTAATTTGCCTAAAATCTTGCCTTCAAATGTTTCCCTCCTCTCTGCCATCTGGTAGAAATGTTCCGTTCTCTTATGGCTGAAAGCAGTATCCTGTGAGTATCATGTCTTAGTGCTCTTTGTTTTGTTTCTTAATGAATAAGAAACTTAAGTGAAAAAATCACAGTACTGAATCCATGTCTTCTGCGGCCTCCTGATGATTTTGCCCAAAATGTCGTTTGAGATGCTGACAACTTGGCTTTGAAGCAGCTTAAATGCCTCCCGCTGAGCCCTATGTTCTACTGAAGTCAAGTGACTTGCATAGAGTCATCCCAGTATCAGATAACTTTTGAAGTGAATTTTAGTAATTGTCTCAGGCAATTACTCAGTCAAAAGCTTCATTTCATGCACATGTTTGGACAGACATTTAAAAGCAGAGATCTTTATTTAGAAGAAACAAACCCAATGTCACATGCATTTCTCTAATTTCTTGATACTTGGTTTTACCAAATGTACAAAGGTCCTTGGTAGACCTAAGTGCAGCTATAAAGATGATCTTTTACTGTCTTGTGACAGCTTCCCAGCASGGCTTCCTCAGAAGGAGATCACGGTGTGGATATAGAAGAGGTCATTAGAACTTGTAGGTGTAACAGCTCAGCCAAGGCTTTGCCTCTTGACCTGGATGATTATCCTATCAGGGTTTGGCCAAAGGAGCTCCATTTGTACTAAAAGAGGGAATCTTRTATTGACCGCAGTAACTTTTCTTTCCCCTCTGCATGTTTGTACAGATGATGGTAAATCCCCTGAGGGAGATTGACAAGACAGTAGGACAACTCATGGATGGACTCAAACAGCTGAAGTTACATCGTTGTGTTAATGTCATATTTGTTGGTGATCATGGTAAGAAAAAAAATGCTYTTTATTGCTGTAGAAATGCATGAACAACAATAGCTGTGTATATATAAGCASCCTAAATTCAAGTCCCATTTAAGATATTTTTGTGCTGATTTTTTTCTAGAAGGTTAAGTCCTAAAATACAACCACTCAGTGTAGACTTGTAACTAAACTCTCCTTTTAATTTTCACTAGGATGAACTTCTCTATAATTTCAATTATCTGGATATTTAAATCCTCTATAATACAGATTTTTTCAAAGATTGCCATTTTTCATATACAACTAAGTGCTACTCTCCCACAGGAATTAGGAGGCTATAATAATCTAATAAACCTTTTTTTTTTTTTTTTTTTTCTTTCCCCCAATCTTCATGGAAGAAAACAACCTAGTAGTTGTTTTCCTTTCTGATGAAGGGAGGAGTAGAACCTTGGACTATATAATTTCCATGGAAATTAATAGGATAAACCATCTTAACAGGAGTGGAATGTATGTGAGGGACTATATCTGTTTGCTTGGAGAAAGTCATCAAGATAATGGTGAAAGGAGGAAAAGGGACAAAACAAATCTAGGGGACAGATGGAGGGTCATCAGTAAAATTGTATATATGATTTGATAGATTTTACTCTTTTGGAAATTGGCAGAAACATTTTCTTGAGAAGAAATAGTAACCACTAACAAAGAACCGGGAAAACAGGAAAAAGAAAGTCTTATTAAATAAAAAGTATGACATGTTTGAGATAAGCATAAGTTGTTTTGGCATAACATTTTAGTGTCTTATCCAAAGTTCGCATATTCATCAGACACTAATTTTTTGTAAGGAGTACTGTTCTGTTCAGATCTGTGTTTTTCAAAATCTCCCAAGATGTGCTCAATTGACAAGAAAATGGCCTATGCCTCCTGTCTGGCTGTGGGGAGAGAAGGGTATGGGACAGCTCAGATTTACAGAGGAGGGAGTTTTGTGCAGAGAACTGGACTATGCCTGTCAATACATTCCACTAAGCCACAAACTAGGAGAGAATTGTTTATCTGAGGCTGGCTTAGAACAGACCACCAACAGACAGTACCTTTTGTGTGGGGCTTCTCTTAAAATCTTTTGTTTAAAGAAAATCTCCAAAGTAGTATACTAAACTGGAAACAGACTTYGATTTTTCCATGAGTTGAATTTGGAGATGTGACAGTGCACACACACAGTGTATATGGTGAGTGTTTCTACAGACAGGACTGGTATTTCTCTCATGTAGGCAAGTGTTAAAAGCATCCCAAATATGGCTCTTACGAGTGTCTAGTGCTGGAATTAGATGACTAGAAAGAAAAGGAATAGGATTAATTACCAAAAGGAAAAGAATACATACAATAATCTGCTTGGGATCCCTTGTGCTCTGTTTGGGAAACATGTTCATTTTCAAGATGGATTAATTTTGCCTTTTCCTTCTGCAGGGATGGAAGACATGACTTGTGAAAGAACTGAGTTTTTAAGCAACTATTTGTCYAATGTAGAAGATATCATTTTGTTGCCTGGATCTTTAGGGCGAATTCGTCCTAGGTCTAGCAATAATCTGAAATGTAAGTTAATTTAATCATTCCGGTTATGTCCTGAAAACCAGACCCCATCTTCTCCTTGGGCCCACATAGTCCAAGGGGTGCAAGTTTGCAGAGAGTTTATAGGACTTTCAGAGAAAATACAATATATTGACCAATGCTCTTCATGCATTGGTCAATGAAAATATATAGATATAAAAGGAATCTTTTACCTTTTCTGAACCATTGAGTTAAATGAATTGTTAATTCTGAATTCAGTAGCTTATTCATACTTTTGGCATGGGTGAAGAGCAGTGGACTGCTAAATAGCCAGTATGGACTGGAAATGCAGGATATAAGTAAACATTTATATAAGTAATGTGTGCATTTGAGCCAAGGTGGAAAGATAAACTTACTACTTTATCGTGTTATGCTATTAAATGCTCATCCTGACTCGATGTGTGAGAGGAGCTGACCATGTTGTGAGAGCATTGAGGGCTGTGGCACATGCCCTCTCATKTGGCTAACTGTGATTTATGGCATTGCTGCCCTGCCTGCTCTGCCACCTCCATGATAGCATCACTTGCAAAGGCAAGTGATTCAAACAACCGTGCAAACTGAGAAGCTTAAACTGACTCCTGTGTACCCACATTTTTGCAAAATATACTGCAAAGATGAGAGCTTTTGGTGTGGAGGTCTAACTGTTAACATGGACTGACCAACCCTCACAATATTTTGGATGCATTTTAGTTGAAGGCAGACTTTTGCAAACAATTATTTGAAGATTAGAAATTTCTAGAATGATAGAAGAAACTATAAAAATATGGTTTTTATTTGCTACAACATAATTTTTTATGGATATGTATTCTCTAGGAATGCAGGTTGTGTGCATAAAGATCTATTGATAACAAGATTTTATGTTGAGTAAAGTCACAGGACTAATGCAAAGACTGAATTCCCATTCTTCGGAGTCTACTAAAAAATTGTATTTTAGTTCTTCTGAGTAGATTTTTTTTTTTAGAGGAACTTTCAATCCTTGAATTGCTGAGCAAAATCAGTTTTCATTGGAGGATAAATGGCAATGTTTTCCCAAAAGATCAGCTAGCAGTATGACCCATCTCTGAGTCATCCTTCTGGTTTCCCCGCAACACCATTCTCCTCTTTTGGCTTCTGTCCCCAGCTTCCTAGTCCGAATGCTTGCAATTGCTTATAAATGAACATAGAACAAAGAAGCGTATTTCTTAGTCTCAAAACTGATGTTTGGCTCATAAAATGGCAAACTACCAGACATTTTATTCCTCTGCCATTTTTCTATTTCCTAGTATTGCCCCGAGGCTCATAGGCACATCTTTGCAACAGAGTCAATAGATTTGGGACTCCATAGAGCTCCAACTAAGCAAAATCATGCCCTGTATAATCCAAAAAAAGGGGTTATGAAAGATGGTACCTATTTTCTTTTAGTTTATTCTTTCTCTCTAGACTCAAAAATATTCTTTCTTCAAATTCTRAGAAGTTGGAGACAGTGCTGCCAGTTGTCAAGCTGAGTTTTGCTGCATCTTGCAGAGCCCTTTAACAATCATAAGCTTGCTCAGAATATTTCGTTGTTGCTTTTCACTTACTCTGGAGGAGCCTACTGAAATATGTGTAAAAGAGACAAAAAATGTGACGTATTTACCATACTGTTTCCAAGAGCTCATTGTTGTGCTTAGATGTGTTTTCAAAATATTTTGGGGATGGTGTTGTATTGTAAGAGGAAGCAGTAATACTTGAAATGGAATATTTTTAGAAACTAGAATGAACATGAAGCTTAGACCCAAATCATAAAAATCCGAGCAGCGTGCATCAAGAAAATATTAATTGAAGGGAAATTTCATATTCAAAATATGCTGATACACATTGTACTTTTAGCAATGATCAGCCAGCTTTTAAGAGGAATCTTTTCTATAACATTACATTCTTAGCTTGTAATCTCTTCAGCAGATTGTTCACCTTTTGATATCTTTATCTTTTTTTTTTTTTTATGTGCTTAACAGATGACCCTAAAGTGATTGTTGCCAACCTTACAGTAAGTGTTTATTGCTGGGATGTATGTCTATAGTGCACTGCTCACTTCACACCTTAATTTGGGACATAATTTGGCAGTCCCTGCTCACTCTTCAGGCAGGAAAACCAGTCATTAGTGTGAATAAAGAGTGTTAAATGGGGCCCTTCATGAGCAGAGATTAATGTTTGTCATGAATCGCACTGTTTGCTAGTGTAGTAGCTTGTATAACCTTTTTGGGTAGTACAGAGCCAGAATCTCCCTGACCATCCTGACGCCCTGAATTGAGTCTATTTATTCATTCCTTCAGAAATGGAAAGTAATCTTTTAGGGTAAATATTTTACTAGCACTTTAAAGATGCTGAAAAAGTTCACTTGATAGCCCTCAACCATAACCCTGTGTTTAATGGGGGGGGAAAAAAAGTTTAAAATAAATGCTGATTTTTATCAAATTTAGTAACTGGACTGTTTTAAATATACCTGTAGACAGGATGTATTTTCAGCATTCAGCTTTCCTTTGAAATTTAAGCCCTGGCCAAATTAGAACCAAGTTCTACATCTGTGGGTGACGTTTTGCAGGATGCTTTTGAAAAGACTGTCACGAGGACGGAGTTTTCCAGATACATTTTTGAGTGAGCCATTATGCACTAGTCTTGCACAAATACTGCATGGAGAGTCTCCCCACTGTGCAGGGCACTGCATGTGGGCGCCTTGGTTGCAAGGCATCACCAGTAATGAATGCAGCAGCTTAGTTTATGCACTTGAAGGCTATACGTGTGCCTTGCATCTCAGTGATGACTCCTGTTTGCAACCACTTATTTCCAGTGTAGAAAGCCAGACCAGCACTTTAAGCCCTACTTGAAACAGCACCTTCCCAAACGGCTGCACTACGCTTACAACCGAAGAATTGAGGATGTCCACTTACTGGTGGATCGCAAATGGCACGTGGCAAGGTAAACTGTTGCTTATAGTTTTATCCCAGTTTTCATGTATAATTCATGTATATTTTAGCTGTTCAGCTCATTTATTTAAGTGCAAGATTATTCCAGCTGGGGGACGTAGAAGGAAGTGGAAGGAGTGCAGAACCAGGGAGGATTTGGGGACATGGGGCTGAGTGGTGGAACTGGTAAATAGAAAGAAAGCGGAGATACTRAGGGGTAGCAGAATAGCTAAAATCTTGAGAATATGTGGAGGAACGTGAGGGTATTACATACAGGATGCCCATTGTAGTGTGTGCAAGGGAGTGCTGTGCTCTGAAACTAATCCACAGGAAGCCAGGATGCTTCCATAAAGCTGTTCAGTGAAATCCCTGTTTTGGTTTGCTCTTCTGCGTCTGCTGCTGAATTTTCAGTGCAATATGAGCAATTTTGTATAATCTTAGTAACTGGCTGAGGAAAAGCTAGTCGGTGCACATATGTACCGAGAAAACAGAAGCAGAGTTGCTGTTATGAATTGCACGCTCTTTTCTAGTTTAATAATCTTTCTTTCCATCCCTTTGATCATTTGACACATGTTGTGTATTACAGTGTAAGAAAGGCCAGGTCTTTATCCGTAAAGTTGCCTCAGTGCTCCTTGGAGGATGACACGSATTTGGCTTGTAGTATTCTGTTAGCAACTTTAAATTATGGTGGTTTTCTTTGCCTGTGTTGCTGCCAGGCAAACACACGGTGTGTTGTAAGTGCCTTTTGACATCTGTGCTTATCTTCCCTTGAATTATGCAAGGATCACGCTGCTGAAGCAGTGAATGAGAAACCCCCATTGCTTTCTTGCATAACTCCACTAGATTTTGGCTGTTTTCCCTGTACAGTTTCTGTGGTTAGGGTTCACGTACATTTCAGAGAATTAGATTCTGAGTTTTAGCTCTATAAAATTTTTAGTTTTAAGAATGTTACTGGCACTCACTGGTTGGAAGTGGAATACCCAAGCTGATTTGCATTAGCTATTTTTCTTATTATTCATCTCGAGCTTACCGACAATATTTTCTGAAAACTGGTTCACCATGTGCCATTTCTCAGTAGAACTGTAAGTCATTGCGTGTTCGTGGCCAGGAAAAGGGTAGTTCTGGTTTACTGTTGCAACTCCAGTAATTTACAAGGTCGAAATCATATTTTGGCTGAGTTTCATTTTAACAAGGATGGTTATAAAGTAACCTGTAGGATTATCCAGTCCACTGTACAGATTGCTTATACATTTCATATCCCTCTCAAAATTCAAAATAAAAGAGTTCTCTGCAACAAACTGTTAATTATCATTGCTGTGACACATACTTATTTTTCAAGATACTTTTCTTCATGGCAATCTTTCTCTTCTTTTCCCTCTC